GCATTTGCTCCTAATAGAAACCGATATCCGTATCGTACAGTCCTGCATAACCGTTTCGCAGAATACGCTTCAACGTTTTTTGCCTTGTGAAGAAACGGATTTAGGTTTTGTACCAGAGAAAAAACGTATTTTTTATCATTAGTTTGTTCAAATAGAGCAAAGATTTCTGGACAAAATGAGACGTCTCCGAGCTCTCTAAGAACTTTTTTCATGAAACAGCATTGGATTTACGGAAGGTCCCAAGTAGAGGTCTGCGGGACAGTCTCAGTCCCGGTCCCGCGGGACTTTTTACGGGACCGTGACCTAGAGGTCTGCGGGACTGTCCTGGTCCTGCGGGATTGTCCCGATCCCGTGGAACTTTTAATAAGATCGCGATCAGGCTTTTTTGAAAATAGTCTTGTATGAAGTTAAAAAATTTCTTTGAAAAAATATTTACGGGACCACGGGACCGGGACCAAAAATGAGTTCTTTCCACGAGCCGGGATCGGGACCAAAACTTTTTTTGTTCACGGGACCGGAACCAAAACGTTTGGTCCCGCAGACCTCTAGTCCCAAGAGTATATTTTTGTTGTTTGTCCATTAATTGTCCCGATTTTGGTGGTATGGGACCTACCGTAAAGTTGAATGCTGTTTCATGAGAAAAGCTCGGAGACGTCTCATTTCGTCCAGAAACCTTTGCTCTATTCGAATAAACTAATGATAAAAAGTTCAGTTATATTTGTACACAAGAAAGTCAATAAATACACAGGGGGGTAAGTTTTTTTGGATCACCCTGTACAACATCACTAATGCTTGTTCCTGCAATTGTTAGATTGGCGGTAACATTATCGATTACTGATGATGATTGTGTTGAAGAAATCTGTTAAAGAAAAAATACATACGATGAGTTCACGTCAATACCAAATGTTATATTCTCAAACGCTTTATAGAAAAAAGTACAAGGAACAATAAACCAAGAACAAATTCGGCAAAAGTTAACTTTAAAAAGGATTGTACTATTTATCTAATGGAAAATGTGCGCGTCATTCTCTCAGTTCTGCATTCATAAGAAAAATAAAATATCCCGCTTTTGTCAGTCGTATTCTGTGACGAATGATACGATACTTATTCTTTGTGAAAAATCTGATGTTCATATCTGGAATACGTTAAATTAGATTTCGTTTCTTCGAATTTTATTGCCCGTCTATTCTGGCGGCTCATACGATGTTTTCTGTTTGTCATTGGAAAACTTGCTTTTAAATAAGGATTGTTTGTTTGGGGTTTGTGACAGGGCTGCCAAATCCAAATTTCAAAAATCAGGAGTAACTAACTGTGCGCCATTGCTGAAACTACTTTTTTGCATGTTGATAAATTATATAGAATTAATGCCAGGTTATTTTATTATGATTAGATGTACACCAGCTTTTAATCGTGAAAATAGAACTGTTAGAAACTGCTGGAAAAAGCTTCGAAACGAATTTACAAGAAATTTTAAGGGTTCTGAGAGAAACTAAGAAAAAAATTTTTCCGTCAAACCGTCTTCACAGCAGAAAAGTCAGATTAATTAACATGTGAAAAAGGAGAGCTGCTTTTATGTAATATCAATATACCTCTGCCGAAAGCCACTCGAGCACGAGGAACTTCTGAGCGTCACATTCACAGTCATTACAAAATTTTGAACTTTTGCCCTGGTGGATGCAACGCTGGGAAATTTCAAACTTTTGTATGAAATTAAATGTATATGCTGGTAGCATAAAGTTTATAACTTGATTTTCACGTTCTTTCTGGTAGTAACAGAGTCTGCGTGATCTTTGCCTAAATTTTGTCTTTCTCATTGGTCTAAAAATAGAGCCAAACTAAACTACAAAGTTGTATGAATGCAGAATTTAAAGCTCTACAAAATACTCTTCTTTATAAGGACTGACCACTTTTCTAACCTAGCAAAAGTCTAATGTTTTCCACAGGAACTTCACTTTTTTCGAAAAAATCTCCTGTTGCCTCAAAAGAACTTTACATATTCCTCAGCAAACGTCTAGTGTTTCTTCACAAGAACTTCATCTTCTCAATTGAGAAACTAGATGTTTCTCCACAAGAACGACATCTTTTTTCCTAGGAAACTCAACGATTTTCCAGAAAAACTTCACGAAAATTAGACTGCTTACACATTTTACGAAAACAAATACATCACAGCGCAAATTGACCTTTTCTGTTGTATGAGAGACTGTGATTTTAAACGAAACACAAAAATAAAATCTTTTTCTTGCATCCTAAGTAAAGCAGACATACGAAAACAAAAAAGGGAAGTGAAGACAAATACATAGCTAAAGTCTAATCGAATTATGTCACAAATACAAATAAAAAGATGTAATTAAATAGCGCTTAAAGAAAAGCAACAAGTTCCTATTCAAAGTAAATATATAAATACATTTAAAGGCTTTGTGACGGGCCCGTAGACCTCTACTCAGCGTTCACCCAGAATCAACAAGAGGAAGAGTAATCAAAGGGAAACCTCTTGAAACGCTTAAATTTTAAAAGTATAAGTAAGTTCAGGTGGAATATCGAGCTTCTCAGAAAAAAAGATGATCTTCCTGTGAAGAAATATCGAGTTTATCAATGAAAAAGATGAAGTTCCTCAGAAGAAAGATCGACTTTCTCAGCAAAAATGATGAAGCTCTTGTGGTTTCTGCTGAAGAACGTCATCTTTTTCATTGAGAAACTAGATGTTTCTCCACAAGAACTTCAACTTTTTCGTGAGAAACTCGATGCTATTCAACCAGAACTTCATCCTTTTTCCGTATAACAAGGATAAACGACTATGGTAGGAATGTCATATTTTCAGTTTCGATCGTCTAAATAAAATGAATATCATGATTTTCTGATGTTTTTCACAGGAATTCCATCTTTCTTCCTCAAACCGGTGTTTCCTCAGCAAAAATCTGGTGTATTGTCGTATCGAATTCAATTTTACTGTAAGTATGTTGGTAAATATTAAAATTTTCGTCAGAGAGCAAGCTTATTCTAAAATGCAATGGGCAATGGCGCTCTGACTTTAACAATAGAATTCAAGTGGATGAGTAAGCTGAGTCATTGATGAAAATAAACTCTATGTTTAGTTAGATTTATTCGCTGTAGTGTACTTTCACAAAACACTTCAATAACAACATTTTTTTAGATAAAAATACTATGCTGTTTAGTCAAACATGTTTGACATCAAATGTGCTTGAACTCAAACAGTTTGACTTGAAACATGCCTACTCGGAGCTGCTGAACTGTTCGATACCAGTGGTTTAAGTATAATTCTTCTACGTTCACGGTTCAGTTATCACTTATTTGTTTTTGAAAGAGCACTGCTGCTTCGTGTTCCATCGTCAAAACTATTAAAAATCATTAAATCAGAACGAAAGCTTTTATTACAATATTGGTATCGATCGCATCTCATAAAAATGAAATGTACAAGTTAGATTTTGTACGCTGCTTGTATGTGAATGGCCGCTGAATCTCATCGTTTATTGTATTCTATTATAGATATATTAGCCGTTGTATTTGTCAGTTTTTGAACTCAATAGCTAATACGCATTAATTTCCACGTTCTATGACAAAATTTTGTATTATCACCACATCAATCAGGGTGTGTTTGAATGTAAAAAGAGCATCTGCAGGCGAACAGACTATAGGTTCGCTATCGTTGAAGGAAGTATTAAGAACGAGAGGAATCCCCGTAAGCTGTTCAAATCGCTCAATCAATCGGTAATAACTAATATTAAGTTCTCTGTCCACTAACTGGAGCCTTGCCGTTCCATCAATGTGAAGTACCGCTGGAATTTTTTCTGCTTTATCAGGTCTTACTGGACAACTAAATAGCATATACTTCAGACTTTCAGAAGGACGACCAATTTCAAACCATTCATTTGCCCTTTCTGCTAAAACACTCGGAGCAAAGGGACGAAAATCTTCTCGGTGTTTCACCTTCCGGTTTAGCAAGTCTCTAGTACTAACATGACGCGGATCGGCTAACAGAGAACGATTACCAAGGGTTCGAGGACCAAACTCCATGCGGTTCTGAAACCAACCAACTATTTTACCATTTGCTATCATACCAGCTGCTTCAACAGCACTGTCCTTGGAAATTCTTCCATATAAACCAGATTTCTCTATCGCACAACGTATTTCTTCTGTCGAAAACTCTGGCCCGGTATAAGGATTCAACTGCAATGCAGGAGATATTTTTGGATTAGTTCTAGTATGATAAACATACAAAGCGGCACCTATTGCGGTTCCTCCATCGTGGGGCGCTGGAGGAATAAAGACAGTTTTGAATTTTCCGATTTCTTTAACCAACCAGTTAGTTACACAGTTGAGTGCTACACCTCCAGCTAAGCACAAATTGTCTGATGGGTGGAGATGATAAAGACGTTTAACTAAGGACAGCACTGCTTCATTAGTGAACGCTTGAAGAGCGGCAGCAATGTTTTGGTGATGTTCATTTATCGGATCGTCCTTTTTTCTTCTTTTGCCAAAAAGTGTTTCTAATTGTTTAAACTCAGGAACTCGAAAGCATAGAATATTTTTATCCAGAATAAAACCATCATCTGTTATCTGTGCCAGTTGGGAAAAAGTGTCTTTCAGAATTTCACCTTGTCCATAAGCGGCAAGTCCCATCACCTTACATGCGTCGTACTCGGAGAAACCTAGAAACTGACAGAGCTTTTCCCACAGAAAACCTAAAGAATGAGGATAGTGAATTTCCTGAATGATTTCAAGCTTATTCTTCTCATAAAAGCCCAATATCGTGCTTGCGTTTTCAGCAATACCATCGATAACCAAAACTGCTGCTTCTGAAAATCCAGAAGGAAAAACAGCAGACGCAGCATGAGTTAAATGATGAGGAATCCAAACAAGTTTTTCTGCCGCTTTGTCTCCCAAGACTTGAGTCAAAGAAATTTTGACCTTGTCAAGCCCTTTTCGGAATATATCTTCCCCTTCTGGGCTTCCCCAGTCTCCGGTAAGACTTATCGGGTCAAATTTGAAGTATTTTTCACGCAGCGTAGGATCAAAGGAAAACGCAATTAAATCGATATCATCTGGATGTAAATTGGCATCGATTAGACAAAATTTAATGGCTTGTAGTGGAAGTAAATGAGGATTATCAACATTAGCGGGTTTACCATGTTTGTAACGATTAAATCGTTCTTCTTCTGCGGCAACCACTATCCGGCCATCAATGACAATTGATGCAGAAGATTCGTGATATACTGAATTTATGCCTAGAACAATCATTTGTTCATCTAAAGAACATAAAACTAGACAACAACTTGCATTAGAGACAAAGGATATGGCTCAAGACTCTTTTATAAAAAGACTTCGGGAACACTAGACCGGATGCAGTAGTTATAAAGACAGTGTTTCACTGCAGGGTACTTTAACATGACTGGTGAGGCGATGAGTGATCGCCTCTGAAGATCGAACTATAGGCATGACTAAAACTGTGTCTCGATCTAGTTTTGCAATTACTAGAGGTATGACGAAAAGAAAGTTTTTCGATGAGTCAAAAGACAAGTAAAAAACGCATCTACTTCTTCGTAGGAGCAGAATAAGTGCGATGGTACCAAGTGTTGAGGCTATTAGGGTTATACGAAATAAAAGAGTCACTACTAAAAGTGTCACATAAAAGAGTCACTTTAGCCACTCACTCACGTCTACTTCGTATAAGCCTATTACCTATTGTCTATTGTCTTCATTCTCTGGCAGTCATTAAAACAGCAAAGAGAGTGATGCTGCTACGCCTTTCATCAGGAATATAACAAAACTGTTTCCCTCATTTTTATGTATTCAAACGTTCTCGTTATTCATGCTTTTCAACTAATTTGGTCCTCTTCAACTGCCTTTTGGAGGGGTGCCGAGCCCGAGGCTAAGTCATGTAGCAAGTACATCAAGTTCAAGCCTGGATTTTTAAAAGGTAGTGGCGAATCCGAGTCCTGAGTCCACTTCAAGTAAGGTAGTCTTTAAGAACTCTTTCGTTGTCGTTATTTATATTTCTTTTTTTCGTCTCTGTCGTATAATACATTAATCTTCTTATAGCAGAATAAGTAATAGAAGTAGAAGGCATTTTAGCTTGAGGAGTAGTAAAAGAACTTGTCATTAAAACAGCAAAGAGAGTGATATTGAATATTTTTCAAAACTTCGCAGTTGGGATCGGTTCACAATTAATCATACGACCTTACACCTAACATGTAAAGATAGTATATAAATGAAAAGTAGAAGTTGGAATACTTGTTACTAAATAAAATTAGTAAAAAGCACCCAAGCATGAAATTTCATAAGAACTAAGCTAGCTGCAGTAGCTGAAAAAGCACCCGCTTCTCCATTGACTGCAGCTAGCTAAAAGAGTAAAATTTAGTGGATGGAGCTAGCTGCAGCGGGTAAGAAATGCCCAATACTAGTTGCAGCGCTCAATTTATCAGCCGCTGCAACTAGCTTTCGTTAAAACTAGCTGCAACTAGTCAAACTAGTTTCTGTAACATAATCATTAGCTGCTTCAGCGTACTAAGAACCGCTAGCTGCTACTAATACTGTGGATAGTAGCTATTATATTTTATCATCCGATGCAACCCCCGCTGTAGTGGGCGGTTTTACGTACCGCTAGAGTTAGTTATCTATTCTTTTAAAAATTGTGCATCATTTGATGTGCAGATTCCAGATACGCGATTGATTTTACCCATGGGGATTTTTTAAAAAAAACGCGGTCTCCCCTAAGTTTCTCGCGGTTCTAAACTAAAAACGATGTTACACTTAGTGCATGTAAGAAAAATAGAATTTTAAACAGACTAGAAAAAGCAGCTGGAAGTCTGAATAATACAGAACAAACGTCAAACCGAAAAAACATCACTAAGAGTAACATCGGCT